ACCCCCTTCAGGGTGGGGGTCCCCACTGGGGTGCCTGGCCAGCCTGGGTGAGGGGCTGATAGCTGGTTTCAGGCTGGTCACACCCCCTTCAGGGTGGGGGTCCCCACTGGGGTGCCTGGCCAGCCTGGGTGAGGGGCTGATAGCTGGTTTCAGGCTGGTCACACCCCCTTCAGGGTGGGGGTCCCCACTGGGGTGCCTGGCCAGCCTGGGTGAGGGGCTGATAGCTGGTTTCAGGCTGGTCACACCCCCTTCAGGGTGGGGGTCCCCACTGGGGTGCCTGGCCAGTCTGGGTGAGGGGCTGGGGGCCATTTTCAGGCTGGCCAAGCCCCCCCGGTGACGGAAGCTCACAGCCTCTCCTTTTTTTCTTTTTTTTTTATTCTGGGGTTTATTTACTTTCTATAATTGAAACTTTGTAGCCTTGAGAGGAGCTTAGAGCTGGCCAGGACGGGCGGGAGGGAAGCCTCCTGCTCACTCCAGCTCCGTGGCCACGGCCGGCTGAAAGCAGGTATCTGGGGTTTATTTACCTTCTATAATTGAAACTTTGTTGCTTTGAGTGGAGCTCAGAGCCGCCGCGGCAAGCAGGAAGCTTGGCTTCCTCCATCATTGGGGCAACCAAGCCTCCTGCTCGCTCCAGCTCCTGGCTGCCGGCAGCCATCTTGGTTGGATTAATTTGCATATAGTCGCTCTGATTGGCTGGTGGGCGTGGCTTAAGGCATAGCGAAGGTACGGTCAATTTGCATGTTTATCTTTTATTAGTGTAGATGGTATCAACAGCATATTGATTCCTATGCATGTTAAGAACCTCATGACTATCGAAAAACACCTACAGGATCTTCCCAAAGCATCATTCCACTGGAATGACAAGAATGTACATAACTACAGATGAGTCCAACTGGATCAATTAAAGGTACAAAAGTTGTCATCCAGACAAACACTTCCATTAACGTTTTCTATAACTCATTATGTACCGAGTGGCTTCTATTGTTGGGGTTCTAGTTCCTGCCCACAAGTAGCCATGACCTGTGAGCGACAATACATATAAAATGGCCATTATACTATAGCCTAATAAATGCTATCATAATTATGTGGACACGATGTGATAAGAGCTCAGAAAAAAGATCAACTTAATTTGGCAAGGAAGCCCGGGGAAGGGGCGGGGGGAGAGAGGGGGGAAGGAGAAAAGAAAGAGCAGCCAGTTGTTGGATCAAAGAGTACACGAGGATGATAGGACATGAGGTCAGAGAAGACTTGTTCATGAATGTTCAGAGCAGCTTTATTGGTAACAGTATAATTTGCAACCAGTATAAACAACCCAAATGTCCACCAATAGATGAAAGGATAAGCAAACTGTGGTGCATCCATACAATGGAATACTATTCAGCAATAAAAAGGAATGACTGTTAATCCATATCACTGTATGAATGAATATCAACACAATGATGCTGAGTAGAAGCTAGACAAGAAAAAGAATGTACTCAATAATTATATTTCTAGAAAACTCTAGAAAATATAATTTAGTCTATAGTGCTTGGGAATGGGGAGAAGGCATGGGAGCGAAGATTTATAAGGAAGCCTAAGGAAACTGCTGGGAGATGAAGGATATGTTCATTATCTTGAACGTGATGATAGTTTCCCAGGTGTATAATGTGTCAAAACTCTTCATGTTCACTTTAAATCTGTGTAGTTTGCTGTCAGGAGAAGCAGAGGCATGACATAATTAGCTTTGCATTTTAAACAGATCATTCCCAAAGCAGCTTGGAGGCAGGGCTAGAAGAATTCTCAGGGAAATAACAGCCAGAGAGGCCAGAGGACTACCAGGAGTGAATGAAGTACTGGGAGCCAAAGAGAGAAAGAATGCCAAAACCAAGGACAGGATAGGCAGGGTTCAGAGCCACAGAAGAGGTTATTTAGTGGGGGTGGCTGTTTGCAGGCTGTGGTAGGAGAGTGCAGCTACTCAGAAGTTGTTGACACAAGATGACCATACTCTGAGACTGAGCACACATCTTTGGAAGGGAGCCATAAGGGAAGAAGGTAATACTCAGCCTAGCAAAGCAGACTGTCCTAGCCAAATCCAGCAATTATGAGGTGAAAAGGTTGTACCCAGCTGTCCTCTCATCCACGCATGGCACAGTGGACTATCTGCTGAAATGCCTGCTAGTCCACAGTGGGGGGATGTGAAAGCCTTTAGGCCATTGCCCTTACAATCCAGGATGGCAACATGTGCCCTTTTCTTGCACTAAAATTGCACTTTCTTGATACATTTTCCTTATAGTGAAGGATTCCAACAAAGCAATGAACTGACATAACAAGTCTAATCAGCCTTCAGTTCATCAGGAAAAGGTGGGTCCTCTTCTGTTAGTAATGCCCACTAATACTGAATCAGAGTTTAAAGTGATTCTCTATAGTCTTCTATCTCTTAAGGTCATAAGGACATTAATAAGAATGAAAAGACCTAGTCCATTTGTCGTCTAAAGAAAGTGTTCTGACTGATCTTGAGCAATTACATCACATGTGCTCACAAAGAAAGTGCCATGTCATTTTATGGATTGCTATAAGCAAAGTGTACGCATTAAACTTACCAATGGCCTTGATGGATTCTCCTGGAAAAAGTGGTGCTTCTTCCATCTGTGCCAGCTTATTTCCATCCCTTAGAGCCTGGCAAAAAAGCAAACAGGAGTAAATCTCACTTCCCATCTGTATACGTGGGAATAATTGTGGTGTTCTGTGCTCTCGCTACAAAGCTACAGAAGCGTGCAAAATGTATGCTCCCTCCCCTTACAAGACAGTTTCAAAGCTCAGCATCACAGGACACCATGCTGCATATTCTAGCAAATTATTACACATATTTAAACTTCACAGAAAACATTAATACAGAAATGGCTTGACATAACAGATACATACTCTAATCACTACACAGACAGCTATTATAAGGTGCCTCCAGAATTTGGAAATAAAGTAAAAAAAATTATCTTCTGGGCATAAAACTAATTCAAATAAAATCAAAATTAGATGTAGGTGCTTAGCTAGTTGTAGAAATGGCCCAGCTTATGAGATAATGTGGGAAACCCTGAAGTCTAAAGTAGTCAGGGAGGTTTCTCAGGGCAGTGATATTACTAAGGAAAGCTCTCGGCTTTTGTATTGCAGCCCAGCCACCCATGTGTATATACAAAGTTCAGGGGCTTGTCAGTGTGTATAGCATCCAGACCACAAGAAAGCGTGCCCTCAGCTGGCAGACAAGAGTATGTAAATCAAGACTGTGGAGCAGAGTGTGTTAATCAAGCTTCGTCAAAGTCAATTCACCCTTGTGCTGATTCCATGCTCACCAAGCAAGTTGCTAATGAGGTACTGGGTTTCCTGGCTACAATGATGCTAGGAAAAGGATGTCTTGGATAGATGACTATTACAAGGTGCCTGGGTATAAATGTGGGTACATGCCCACAGTTTTCCAGATTGGCATGGAAGTCCAGTAGTCAGTCTCTTGTGAGTTTGGTTGGATAGTGCCAGGGAACTCAGAAAAGTTGAGAAAATGGTGCTCTCGAACTACAAAGCTGGGGACCAGAACCTGAACTCTGGGCCTATTCCAAGGTACTGCCATCCTCTGCGATGCTGCCAAGGAAACTGGTTACTTTCTCCTTGGCATCTCTGACACAATGTATCACGAATAAGAGTAAGATGTTCAAAACCCTAGAAACCCCAAGCTGTGTTTCACAGAGCATTAAATTCCCAAGAGATATGAATAGGTCTTTTTTGTGTGTGTGTGAAAAGTTGAGGAAATGCAGGATTAAAGAAAACAAGTTAAACTTTGTGTGTGTGTGAGACCAGTCTTTAGCATGTCAATGTACGCCAAATCAGCAAGAGGGCGCTAGAGTATGCTGCATTTCCCATACCTATTTGGTCATGAGCTGCTTTCTCCAAAAAAAATATTAGTTAACATCAGGAGGCCACTGGTGTTCAGAGGAAAACAGATCGGACAATACCAAGTTTTCAGCATAATTTTGTGAAGTAAAACATTAAAACTTGAAAACTTTTTAATTCTAATAAAAATTATTGAAAATTCAAAATAACTACTTTTCATAGTTATAAGAGTATTTCATTATGATTTATTAAAGGGACTCAATTTTAAAACACTAGACATAGTAGTTTCATCAAAATTTTGAAAATAATGAAAAGGAAAAGGTGAAGACTTAAAGAGCAAATTCAATGCTAAATGTTGGTCTGGATATGTCTGTTCTATGGGGAGGGCACAAAATAACAAAGTCCATCCTCCTCCTTATCATTAAAACAATACAAATTACCTCCAAACACCTTTATTTCATTTGAATTTTTAGTGCAGATTGGTTTTAGACACTTTTCAGCCCCAAATTTTAGGGACTTAGAGAACTACTAAAGAGGACATGAGAAAGTGTTTTGGGGTTCATTTTAATATTCACACCTGATTTGGAAATATATCTTATACACACTAATGCATAAACAACACTTATATTTTTAAATGTCTAGTTTTATAAATAATAAGAAATCACAAATCCTTAATAGAAGCCTTAATTTGAAAGTCACCTTCTTTAATTTATTGCTTGCACTAGAGGGTAATTTTATAATATAGTTACAATGTGAGAAAGTCATTTTAATCAATATTCAAGTTTTGTATTACTTCAAATATTACATTGTTAAAGCTTATTTTAATGGCTAAGTATTATCTTATATGTTATATAGACTTACATTTCTTAACTTATATTTTAAAATAAATGAGGATAGGTTATTTTGAAATATATTTACTAAAGCAAGCTGTTCTAATTAACTATATCTAACTATATCTGGAAGGGATGGGGGAAATGTGGCTCACTTTAAGCCTTATGTGGAGCCACATTAAACACTTTAAAATCCTCAACCCACGACTACCTAGCAAAATGTGCGGATGGGAGACAGCAGTGATTGGGACCATTTTGAGAATATACAAGGCTCTCAAGATAGAGGTTGAAGATCAAACGTTTCCCTTTTCTTCTAAAAGCCATGTTGAATTTGGCTTAAAACACCTGTGCATTTATATGAAGCATGACTGTGTTGGTGAGACAGTAAGATAAACCTCACTAATAATCATTAAATCTGGGACATGCTCTTTAAGTAATGAGAAAGCAACTGTCAGAACAAAACAAACAAATGATCCTGCTGCTTCAGATTTCCCCATAAAATGTTTATTTTGTACAGGAAACACATTTCACTTTAGCATAGGAATTCAAGAGGAGAATAGTTTTTAAAGGCTCATTGTCTGGTGAGTACAGTAGATTCCCTTTACCAATCTGGTGTTAGGAAATGGGACTCACACTTGTGCTACATTAAGCTTTTGTTGCAACTATTAAGTTGCACAAGACATAATTTGACCCTTGATTTATCCAACCCATGTACAGCATAATCAAAGAACAGATTCTTGTGAACAAAATTTGATCTCATGAACACACCTATTCCTCTTGGTGCCTTTGCTCCAAGTGTTGCCCCGTTGAGGAATTTCCTCTGATGATCTCACCCAAATCCTGTTCTGGTGACCCTGAAGGTCCAGCTGAAGGCCCACCAGCTCTCTGGTACAATGTACCATGCTGGGCACGGACCATTCACATTTGAAGAAAGCAAAGTCCGCACCCTCAAGGAGCATGCTTAGCATATGCATCTGTCCCCTCTAAGTCTCTGTAAAGGCCCGCCAGAATCCTATTATGTCTGAGGCTCATTAACACATCAATAACCCTATGTGGGAAAACCAAGAAGTATGGATGAACAAGTTTCTCGTTGACAAAATGTTGGATAAACCAATTTTTGCAAATAATGTCATCATGGAATCTATCAAACTTGGACAGGAGGGCACTACTGTAGTGGTAAAAGCATTTGCTTATTGTCTAGAAATCTAGTATGAAATGGCTTCTAAATACACACTCTGTAGCTACAAACAGATGAACATGTAGAACTTGCCACCTGATCGGCTTCAGCTTCAGAAGGGTAGCCATTGTGTTCTTCCTGAATCTCCTGCACAGCACCAGGTGCATGGACAAGAAAAAGCAAAGAGGAGAAAGAGAAACACGTGCAAACAGACAGGTGAAAGCACAGAACTTCTTTTTTAAAGAGACAGTAAGCATGTAAAAGTCGACACACCTTTCATGGCTTTGCAAATCACAACATTTCACCCCTTGGAGGTAAGGAAATAACGTGTAGGCCATCTATAGAATCCTCAGCCTAAAGTGGAGTATCTATTCTGTATTTGTGTTGGGGTAGAAAAATGAAAAGCAAAGAAGTATCATGGATTTCAAGGAATGTACTGTCTTTTTAAAATCAAGCAATTCGCACTATAGCATATAGTTAAAGAACAAAACAGCAGACAGGTAATATGCTCATGGAAAATAAAGAACACAACAGAAACCAGGTAAAGGGCAAAAGCCAGCCAAAATACAAAGGCAGTTCATAGACATGTATTTTAAACACAGTAAGTATTCATATACTCTCAAGAATTATTATATTGTCCAGCGATCAACTCCACTGGTATTACCAAAATTTCAATAAACATGCTCATGCACGTATCACATGCTAGAGATATACATATACATATAAGTATATGTATACATATAATCTGGTATTTATTGCTTATTACTAATTAAATATTGTGAATTATGAATCAATGCCATATTAAATATTTCTAATTACAGTATCAACGTGCTTCAAAGAAACAGCTGAGAGATCACATATCTTTATTTAAATTTTTTCCAATCTCTTTAAGGTATACTGTTCTTAATTTAATTTCTTCATAGAATCAGATTTTGAAACTTTAAAAATTGGATGTTTAGTTCAGCAGATGGTATAAAAAATACAAATACTTAAGATGACAAAATTATAATACCTCTTATTGTATCAAGTCTCTAAGACTGAAAATATTAAAATTTAGCATAGATATATATTTTTTCCTTCATGAAACTGGTTCCACTGACTATATTTCTTTGAAAGGCAATCAGTGAAGAAGTAACAAAGATTTAAAAGAATTTACTATTTCCCATCTTTCAATAAAGTGAAATTGTCACTTAATACATTTCTATACTTTATATCAGACTGAATTTAGTACACAATTGGTACTGCTCCCCTTCAATGAATGCTGATTTTTTTAAATGCAGCCAGTTTTTTTGAACTTTCCATTTTTAAATACAAAGAGAATTGAATCATTCTTTGACACAAATTTTAAAAACAGAAAAATGAATGGCTAAACAACAACAAAAATCACATAACATTTCAAAGTCCATGCAAGTGTAAAGCCAAGCACTAATATTTAACAATGTGAATCAGTGAAAGACAATGATTCTCACGAGTGAAAGAAAACAGTGAAAACAAGATTAAACAAAGATAAACCAACTAGAATCATAAGAATTTGATGTAACCTGCTTATTTTTGTGCTACTTATTGGCTTCAATAAGATTAAGAATTTTAAACTGAAGTCACTAAATTATTCTATCAAAATCCACATTGTTTTCATTTAATGGAAATAGGTTAATTTTCAACATCTAATACTCAGGCTTAAATGCATGCACATTACCAATCTTTGTCTTGCTTTATGAATACTCTGAAATAAAGGGAAGGAAAATCATGAAGAAATATAAGCTATAACCCACTAGATGTAATAGTTATATTTGTGTTTTAAGAAATACTAAATGGGACTGATTTTGCTAAACTTATCTTTAGGATTAGCACTTCTACTTTTGGGATTCAGCATGCAGACATGAAAGTGACTTATCTTATTTAGATAGGGTAGACAACAACTAACAATTTTGTTGTTGTTGCTAAATTCTTTAGCATGACTTACATGCTAAATAAGGTTAAAAGAGGACTCTGCCTTATAAGCCCCTGCCACAAAGATCCATTTGGTCAGAATTCATGTAACACAACAAAAGTCAGTATTTCACACTGGCAACAATTTTAGTATCCTGCCCTCATACACAGTGGCTATTATTACACATAAAAACATTTTAACAAATAAAGCGTTTCCAGTGAACACTTAAAGCTATGACACAGCAGAGCAAATTGATTTGAGTGACTCATAAAAACCAGTGAGAAGGTAAAGAACACTAAATAGACTGTGTTCAATAAAGCACAGAGACACACAAGTAGGAGGCCCATCTGCCAAACATCCTTACCCTTATATCAGGCCTCCTGAAAACCTGTTAGTTAAAATACAGAACATCATCATCACAAACACATTACTATTGACCTGTACAAAATGTCATTAAGTTCACCAGCCCATTCCCTAATAAACATCATAATCCTGTACATAAAACCAAACAGATCAATCCTAACACATTTGCCCTCTAAAGTTTCATTCAACATCAAATCAATCTTAACACATTTGTCCTATAATTTTAAGGCAAGTCTATGGTTTGAAGAAACTTATTGCCCTTAGGCTAAGACAAACAACATTATTTTAAACACAAACCCCTTCTGTCAAGTGCTATTACTAGCCATTGTGAACAGGCAGTGTTTGAAAAGTTCATTTGTGTGTCTGTTTGGAATACTGAATACATTTCCCCCATAGAAACAATTATGTAAAAAGGCAGTTCTAATCCCAAACCAGCCCACAGAAACCAAACCAAACCTAAAACCCACAAAAGCTCCCACATTTGACCCAGAACATAGCTCAGCTACAGTGTTAATGGTATCGTGAAACTTAGATAACCACAAATCATAACCTGGTTTCTGTAGAAATTATATTTCCAACTCGCACTTGGGACTCCAGAATTTGACTCCCAGATGTGGCCGCCCCACCAAGAGAAAAATGCCTCTCTTGACCCCCAGGCCCCACTGCCTGGAGAAGGACAGCTCCAGGTGGGAAGAGGTAGCTGGCTGGTCTGGGAGGGCCAGAGAATGGGGAGGAAAGGCCCAAGCTTCTGCCTCTGCAAGGGGAAGCCAAGCTTTATTGAATAAGGACACTAATTTCAGCAATGTTCTTCCTGCACCAATAGCCTATGAATACTACTTGAACATGCAGTATATGCATTTGGGAAGCCTAGGACAGAGGAAACAATGAAAGAAACTTTTGAAAAGTGAATGGTGGTAATTGTCTGAGGAAGACCTGAATAATGTGTTCCCCATTCCAAAGTCTGATTTCTGATCATCTAACCACTGGATGTTCTATGGAACATAGATTATTTTAAAAAATCACCAGAGGTTCTTATTAGCTGTATAGATTTTCCTCAGGATAGATAAGCACATGAAGATTTCATCACTGTATCATCATTAAATGAAAATACTCTTGAAGTAAAAAAAAGCTTTCTGAGTTACGTGATGTTGTAGTACAAAAAGATTTATTTAAGCCCATAAGTTCCTAAACTTAGACTATTTAGACTAAGAAGCTTAAACCTGGCTTTGTTTTTTAAGGGGGCAGTGGGTTATATATATTTTTATCATCTTAATTGTGGTAACCATTTCATAAGTGTATACCTATCTAAACTTATTAAATTGTATGTGCTAAATATGGAAAGTTTATCATTTGTTAATGACAACACAATAAAGTTAGTATAAATATGCATACTTGTGTTAATAAAAACTCAAAATGGGACATATATGGCAATAAAACTCAAAATAGAAAGTCTCCACCCCCTGAGCTTCATTCCTCAGTGATAACCATGTTTAACTAGACCTATTTTTAATTCTGTGGATCGCCTCCATAACCATAAATATGGTTACACCTCGACTTCTTGATTTGTCTACCTTAAACAGTACCTAGTTTCTTCCCATTTTAAAAGATGAGGAAATAGGCTTTCTCAAACTACTACCTCCCTCTTCCTAATCTCTGATTATTGAAAATTTGATTTTTAGTTATTTTATTGTCTTCCTTAAGCAAAGCTGCATCATAAAAAAACTCATGGGGGTGGGAAGAGTTTGAAGAGACTCATGGGGTAATAGAAGGATAAATAATGGTGAGGGAAGGAGACTTGACTTAGGGTGGTGAAAATACAATACAGTATATAGATAATGTATTTATATAATTGTACACTTTAAACCTATATATTTTTATTAACCAATACCACTCCAAAAATTCAATAAAAAATTTAAAATACTCATGATATGATTTTTAGGTGCCAGACACTCTTCTTAGCACTTTGTATGTATTAATTTATTTTATTCTCAGAACAACCTTGTGAGATAAAAACTATTGGTTCCAGTTTTGATGAGAAAACCGTCAAGGTTAAATAATCGGCCAAGTTCAAGGTGGCAGAGCAAGTACTTAAACCCAGGTGGTCTGCTACACTGCCTCAGGATGGCATCACTATAATTAACACATTTAAACTATAGTCTTCAAGCATACAATCTCCCTTTTAGGGTTAATGAAAAAAATCAACACCACTATCACTTCCCTTGCTTCCCCTCTCTACCTCCAAACCTCTGCTCTAGCAAGCCATTATTTTCACATTTGTTCTATAACTACAATATTTCTGACACTTTCTCTATAACATGATACCATCAACCGAAAACAACAAAGCAGCATTCACAAGTAGTGTAACTGAGCCCTCCTTCCTTATATGTAGGACATATACCATTATCAATAAGCCTTTCGTATTGGAAGGAGAGACTAACTCAAAAGCTTGGAAAGGGGTAGGATGATACGTGCTTTTACACTCACATAATTCTTTTCTTTTAAATATATATTTTTATTGATCTCAGAGAGAAAGGGAGAGGGAGAGATAGATACATCAATGATGAGAGAAAATCATTGATTGGCTGGCTACTGCACACCTCACACTGGGGATCAAGCCCCCAATCCTGGCATGTGCCCTGACTGGGAATCAAACCGTGACCTCCTGGTTCATAGGTCAATACTCAACCACTGAGCCACACCCGCCAGGCCTACACTCACATAATTCTTTATCAACTGTAATGAAATCCTTGGTAGTTTTGATATAAGACCAAGAAGGTCTCCCGAAAGTCTGTAAGTGAATGCCTAAGTGTTTCTCTCTGGTTTAGTTTACATTTCTTCTGAAATAAGCCATTTCAGGTACACAGAGAGATTCATTCTTTTTTCCCCCCTTGAATTGGATTCTGACTGAAGCTGGAGAAGAGAGCAGTGGTTTTAAGTTAGGAGGCCTGGGTCCTACCAGTATTTAGGGCCTCTTAACGTCTGCACTTGGTCCCAGTCTCTATAAATACAAAAGGAGAGGAGTCTCCAGAATGACTGCAAGGTCCTGATCAGCTCTAAAACCACAGGAGTTATGTATCTAATCCTCATGGAAATACTTCAGAAAACATCTTCCCAACCAAGGCTTCTGGATGCAAACCGGCATAGTGGTTGGAAGAATGAACTCTGGAGTCAAATCTTGTGTTACTGCCCGCCAGACCCCTGAAGAGCAACACAAGCCCTGGGAGTTTTAGTCTCCTCTTCTCTAAACCAGTGATGCTGGGGACACTTCCCTCACAGGTTGTTGGGAGGGTTAAATTGGGTAACCCAGGTTCTTGGCATGTGTAGGTGGTGAGAGAGGGGATATGAGGCAGGTCAAGATAGTTGTGGTGCTGAGCTGCATGGAATTCATAGTAGGGGAAAGAGACACCAGAAAACATAGTACAAATTGGACTGTGGTGAGCATTCAAAGGACAAGTAAACAAGGTGTGGTGGGAGGAGGGGAGGGAGCAGAGCACTAGGTGGATAAGTACTCAAGAATGAGTTGTTATCATCAGTACTATTTAGGTAACCTTTTATAGAGGCCCGGTGCACAAATTCCTGCATGAGTGGGGCCCCTCGGCCTGGCTGGCAATCAAGTCCATTGCACCGAGTCCCAATCAGGCCGGCCGGGTGGGGGAGGGACCACAGGAGGTTGGCCAGCTGCGGGAGGTTGGTTGTGGGAGCACACTGACCACTAGGGGGTATCTCCTGCATAAAGCGTCTGCCCCCTGGTGGTCAGTGCACATCATAGCTACTGGCCGGTCGTCCGGTCATAATGGTCACTTAGGCTTTTATATATATAGACTAGAGGACCGGTGCACAAAAATTTGTGCACTCAGGGGGGCAGTTCCTAGCCTGGCCTGTGCCCTCTCACAGTCTGGGACCCCTCAGGGGATGACCACCTGCTGGCTTAGGCCCGCTTCCCGGGGGATTGGGCCTAAGCTGGCAGTTAGACATCCCACTGGTAGCCCGGGAGCCCTCGGGGGATGTCCACTTGCCAGCGGGGAGCAGGCCTAAGCTGCAGTCGGACATCCTTAGCGCTGCTGAGGAGGTGGGAGAGGCTCCCGCCACCACCACTGTACTGGCAGCCATCAGCCTGGCTTGTGGCTGAGCAGAGCTCCCCCTGTGGGAGCGCATTGA